GGGACTATAAACACAACTTGCCTCCCTTCTCCCTGGCTTTAAATTGGTTTAAATCCAATTTAAGCACCGGTTGCTTGCTGCAGGGCTGGGCAGGCACGTGTCCCTGGCAGGCTGATGCCGCAGTGCCGATAGCCATGCTGGGCTCAACGTGGCTGGCCTGGCTGCCTCCGTGGGATGCTGCACCCAGTGGGTGGGATGCTCTTCAGCTGGCACTGGCACCGGGGTCCTGCCTGCGGTCAGCTGGCGAGGGTGTCCTTGGAGGGTGGGTTTCGTAGCTGGTCCATCTCCCGCTGTCTGCCCTGGGTGCAGTGAGAACTGGCGATCTTCATAAAGAGGCTCACGCTCGCTGGGAAAACAGAGTTGTTTCTCCTTTTCCTCTCCCCTTGCTTCCTCTCCCAAGGTTCCAAGTGTTTGTGGCCAAGGACAGCGGAGCCTGGGGATGTCGGGCCAGCTCTGGGCACAGGCAGGGGACCAGCCCTGCAGAAAATGCCTGGGAGGAACCTCCCTGGGAGCCAGGCTTTGCCCTCCTCTCCAAGGCAATGTTTGGGCTAAGCCTTCCGTCCATCACAGATCAAAGCTTAACTTGTCCCTGCCCAGACCTTGCAGGTGACTCCCGATAGTCTTGTTTCTTTTCCTTGTACTCAAACGGCTTTTTTTAATCAGTGTGGGTTTTGCAGCTCTTTTATAACATTTAATCAAATGGTCTTTACTCAAGGAATTGAAGAACTGCTGCCGTAGAAGTCTCCTAAAGGTGGTTCATCGTCTCGCCCATTTTATCAGGGCAGATTACATCATCCCGATGCTGATTTCATCCATTTATTTCCTTTTAGAAGCAGGAGGGCTCACTGCCAGGCTTTCAAATCCTTGACGTTTTGCTGAATGCTTCTAAATGATCAGAAATTTGCCTGGATGGCTGATGTGATGTTCAGCCAGGGCAAACAAGTCACCAGGGGAAATACCTCGTGGCGGAGCTGGAGTCGGAGATGGGAACCTCGGTTGAACCATGATCCTGTTTCAGTTCGGGGGCCGTGTGTGTGCGCATGTGTGCCAGTTTTAAGGTCTGTGGTTTACCTGAAGCATCTAAGGTTGTGTTTTATTTGATAAAACTTAAAATACACTGATACTGGTGGCACCACCCAGTTCTGAATGTGGTGGGGACGTTCCTGGCAAGTCCCTGGAGCACTTGTAGCCTAGCCTGGCGGTCCCAAGCCAGATGTCTTTAAGTGTATCATGTTGGGGTTTTTTTAGTCTGGAAAAAGTGCTTGCTTTCTACATGCCCACAGCAAGGCAAACCTGGCCGAACACGAGATGTGGCAGGAGGTTTAAAGGGTCAGTGCACAAAGCAGCTGCTCGTGAGGCCATAAAAAAGAGCCTTCTGCGACCTGCGGCTGCACCTTCGCCCAGGGCAGAGGGGCTTGGGTTTGCTTTGCTTTCTCGGGCATTTGCTAATTCCTTACCTAAGTGCCCTTGTTTTGCCAGTTTCCTCCTTGCATCTTTTCTTGAGGTTTAGTTACTTAATCTGTGATGAAATGTAAAGCAAAGTTCTCCACACTTGTGCTCGGGAGAAGGACTTTGTTTACAGTCTTAACTGCCTCTTAACTCATTGACCACGTAGGTTTAATTTTAATAGGGCTTTTGCATTTGAAATCGCATGTAGGCTAGTATTACAAGAGAAGAATTATTCTCCTTTACTAAATACAAAGAAAGTTTGCAAGTTATGTTACAGGTCATCTTTTTAAAAAAAAAAAAAGTAAATAAATTGCTGCACATCCTCGGTGTGGCTGAAGGAAGATGGTTAACGTGCTGGAGGCTGCTTCTGGCTCTGAAGGGTTGCTCCCTCATTCAGCCTGTCTGCACCGGTATTTCCCATCTATAAGATGTTTTGTAACAATTTGATAGATAAATCATCCAGTTAAGGGTGCTGCGATGTTCTGATGCCCTGAGCTGTTCGGCTCCTGGTTATGCTCCATGTTGAGAGGGCCAGCAATGGTAACCATGACAGGGTGTTTTTTAATCAAGTTTCTTGTGGGTTGGGGTTCTTTGGTTTTGTTGCTTTGGGATTTTTTCTTTTTTGCAATAGTTGTCTTTACCTTGTGCTGTGTGTAATGCTTCAATGTATGCTTAAATTGAACCTTTTCCAGTGGGAAGGGGAGAAAAGACTCAGCAGCGTTTACTTTAGAGTCTGCAAGCAAAGTTATTTCCAGTTTGGCATTAAATCTTTTTCAAACAGGGAAGAAGTATCCCTTTGAAGCACGCAGGGACATCTGCAGACGTGGATGTCTGCCATCATCTCTCGGGCACTCTCTGCTGCATTGGGTCCCCGCTGCTTCCCTCCCAGCAGAGCCAAGCCAGTCCGGCACGAAGCATGGTCGCTGCTGTGAGCACCGGGGACATGCGGCGTGGGCTGGAGATGGGATATTTTTCCCCCAAAGCAGAACATAACCAGGGTTGCAGCACAGCGTTGTCCGATACGCTGAAGCCTGGCCTCTCCTAAACTCGGTGTACCCTGCAGGTAGCTTGGAAAAGCACTCGAATTGCCCGAGCACGCCTGGGCTGGGGGGCTGCCGGCAGCTGGGGAAGGG